GCCCCGCCGGCAGCTGCCGGCTGACGGGTGAGACCACACTGGGCTCTTCTGGTGGGGTGGGAGGACAGGGAGGCTGGAAGGTGGAGGACGCGGATGGCTCCTCGGCTCTGCCAGGAACATCCCTTCACCACCATCCTCCCCGGCCACCGGTGCCCACTGATGCCGGGTGTCCCACAGCCAGGACCGAGGGGGCCGGGGGCAAGGCGGGCCGGCTGGGGGCCACTCCAGCGAGGTGATCAGCCCCGAGATCCTCAAGATGCGAGCGGCTCTCTTCTGCATCTTTACCTACCTGGACACCAAGACCCTGCTGCGGGCGGCCGAGGTGTGCAAGGACTGGAAGTTCGTGGCCCGGCACCCAGCCGTGTGGACACGGGTGCTGCTGGAGAATGCCAGGGTGTCCTCCAAGGTACCGGGGATGGGGAGGGGGATGGCACCTTCTGGAGTGAGACCTTTCTTCCAGAAAGATGAAGCTGTGCAAGCATCTTGCTTGCGTTGATTGTCCTGCTGCTGTGGTCATGGGAAAGTGGGTGTGTTGCACATGCTTGTGGGCACAAGCTCACATGTGCACATGTTTTCACGTGTTTTCGTGATCGCACTCATGATTTTGCTACACGCATCCTTGCGTGACCTCGTATGTGCATTTTCACATATTCATGGCATGTGTGCGCATGCAGAAATGCTTGTGTGTGCATGTGTGTGCACAGATCTGCCCAAAGATGGCCAAGGATGGGTGGCGTGGGGAATGCTGAGGGTGTCTCCCTCGATGATGGCCACCCCTGTTCCCCCAGTTCCTCGCCATGCTGTCACAGTGGTGCACCCAGATGCACTCCCTCACCCTCCAAAACCTCAAGCCACGACAGCGAGGGAAGAAGGAGAGCAAGGAGGACTACATGAAGAGCACGCGGTGAGTCCCCGCGTCCTGGACACCCTCCTCCCACAGCCGGAGCTGCTGGTCCTCAGGGATGATGATGTTCCATGAACCCCAATGTCCCGTTCCCACTGACGGACATTCATCACACATCAGCTCCTGCTGTGGGTTTTGGGCATCCTGGAGCCACAGATCCCAATGGGACATGTCACCCTCCTGCGGTGGCATCGGGGTGGCCATGGGGAGTGTGAGCACGGGCACCCATGCCTTACCCTGCCTCCATCCCTGGTAGGGGCTGCCTGGAAGCTGGGCTGGAGTCCCTGCTGAAGGCAACGGGCAGCAACCTGCTCATCCTCCGCATCTCGCACTGCCCCAACGTGCTGACGGACCGCTCGCTCTGGCTGGCCAGCTGCTACTGCCGGGCCCTGCAGGCTGTCACCTACCGGTAAGGATGGCCACCGGCAACCCCTTCCCCCCTTGCAGGGGACCATGTGGTTCCCTGACTGGGACAAGGCTGGGAACACCCATGGGTTGTGCTGGGGCTCCTCTGATGCGCATCCCTGTTACCGGTCAGAACGCAGCCCGTCTGGCCGGGTGTGAAGGACCCACCTTTCCATGTCCCCAGCCCAGCGGCAGCCCCAGTGTCCAGTGTCCCCAGTGCAAGCTGCCCTTGCAACTCTCGTCCTCTTCTGGCATGTTCCCATGCAGATGTTTCACTTCCAGCTCCATTCCCACCATCCTGTTACTGATCTCGCCCCAGCTGCAGCCGTGACCAGGGTCTTGGTATGGGGACGTTGCTTTATGTTAAAGAAGGGTTAAGAAGATGTGCACCAGCACTGGGGCCGAGTGAGGTCCCACCTGACTGTCACCCACTGACGAAGACTTCTAACAGGGAGAAGAGACCTCGAGGTCCCTCTGCCCTGTGAGGGAGGAATAGCTCTGACACAGGATTGCTAAAACCTAATTTGGAGACCTTGCCTGAGGTCAAGGACACAAGGCCCATGATGGTGTAGGTCCTAGAGGAGGTCACTGATTGCTCCTTGGTCTTGACCACTTTCCGAAGAGGCTCTGCCTCCCATGGAGACAGGATAAAGCTTTCCTGCGCCCTAATGGAGGATGATCCTTGCGCCACTGTACCCTGCAGACGACCACTTCAGCCTCTGCATCCATTCGCCTGCAGCCAAAGGGTGTCCTCATCTAGCCCATGATGGAGAGTCCTTCAGGTGGGAAAGCACACCCAGCCAGCTTCTCCCTGTTGAACCAAACAATCTCAAACACGGCGCTGATCTGGGGATCCCACACTGTGAGGCAGCCCAATGCTGATGGGTTTAACCCAAAGACGCCTCCATCGGCCCTTCCAAGGGCATTAGAGCAAGCCCAAGCGCTCCTGACACATTGCTAACCTGTGACTCTGACTCACGGTCTAATTAACCCGCCGCACTCGCAGGGGACTCTTGGCAGGCTTCTTCAGTGGAGGCATGTGAAACACTCAAGATAACACCCATCACTTATTTTTAGGCTCGCCTGAAGTTTCGAAGTAGGTCATTTCGAGTTAGGAAGTGCAGCCTCAGTCTTTGGGAAGCAGCCTGGTGCAGTGAAATGGCCAGGAGCCTCTGTTTGGGCTGGTGGCACCAGGATGACGCTCTCTGACATCTCTCCTCCATTGACTTGTAGCTGGGACCCAACAGCATCAGTGAAAGCTCTTCTGAGCCAGTGGCACAAATGCCGGGTGGGCGGGCAGCATGGCTGCATCTGATCAATGCTGCAATTCATGGTAAACCTCCACCTCCACCATGCCCCTGCACGAATCCAGCGTCATCCCACAAGATCTGTTTTGATACCTCCAAAAAGACCAAGGAGAAGCCCGCAGCAAACCTCTGCAGCAACATTTGGCCAACAGACACCTACAGGTGTGGGAGCACAACTGCAGAGCTGGTACAGGGACCGTGGAGGAGCCGCTTCCCTTGGCTGGAACTTACCGCCCATCAGCCGAAACATCTTTACTGCCTCCTGACACCTTCGCCATCCAGGCTGGGCAGGTGGCGAGCAAAACCAACCCAACGGGATCTTCAGGGACGTTATATTTGCTCTGCGAGGGTACACAGCCTGGCAGTCTCAGTTCCATCACTTGCCACCTTTGCATCTGGAAGACTTCTGCCTTCACCTTCAACTTCACTTTCAACCATCAACCTCACCCGCAACTATCAACCTCACCTTCAGCCTTTCCCTTCAGTCTTACCTCATCTTCAATCACACCTTCAGCCTCACCTTCAACCCCACCTTCTTCCTTTTTTCTTGACATTGCACATCAGTAGGCACAATTCCAGATAGAAATGCCTTCGGCCTTCCTGCATGGGTTGGTGTTGGGACTGTCTGGTTCATGGGCAGATCACGGGTTACAAATAATGACCAGATTTGTACCTCCAGGCACAGGGAGATGTAGCAACATGGAGGCTTCAGACAGCCCCCGCGGCAACATCACTGCCAGTGGGGGCCACCATGTGTCCTCTTTGTTGTTCCAGGAGCTCTACAGATCCCGTGGGTCATGAAGTCATCTGGGCCCTTGGAGCAGGTTGCAGGGACATCATCTCCCTCCAAGTCGCACCTCTGCACCCATGGTAAGAATCATGTTAGGCGAAGGTCAAGTTGAGTGTGAGGCGCGTCACCGGGCTGGAAAGAAATTGCGTGCCCGATTCAGATGTGCTTAGGGGGTGCAGTCCTTGTGGGATGAGCAACAATCCTGGAGGCCAGTTTGTGGGACCAGGAGCTCAGCTCCATCCCTCCCTGAGAAGGCTGGGAGCTGTTTGGTGTAGGCATCTCCCTGCCAAGCTGGGAACATTTCCTAGGAGGCTGCTAACACCAGAGATGAAAGGGGAGCTGTGATGGGTCTGGTAGGCAACACTGAACATTAAACACATGTCTGAGCACCTTAATGCTCCTTTAACAGCATCCCTGAAGGGCCTGGATGTTTTTAGAAGGGTGTTGAGTTGCTGCTTAGGGGGACAACTGCAGTCGTCCTCACTTTGGAAAAGCATTTTGGAATCGTGAAGACTCTGGCGGTTCCCCACCCTGCAGCATCTGGGTGCTCAGGAGTTCACGGCTCTCAGAGCAGGTCACAGGGCTCCGTGCCACAGGGCTGCCTCCTAGGCAGCTCTTCTTGTCTTGGGAGGTTTGTTGCAATGTCATGTCCCCCATCAGCCTGGACTGAGGTGTACAGAGAGGGATGTCTCTTAGCAGGAGAAGCTGGAAGTCAAGTCCCTGACGGCTTATTTCTTCCCCGGGGGAAACACCACATGGCATGTAGGCTTCTCCACCCAAGGTAGAGGTCCCGGCTTCCACTACTGGTTTGATCACTGCAAGCAGTGGAGTTCAGGGCCTGATTCAGATCTCCAAAGGTGGAGGGTTGTGGACAGAGGGACTCCACTGGTAGCAAGGACCTGCGCTGTCCTGGTTGCAGAACAGCCCAGGGTGGTTGCTCAGATGGAGACATCTGCTCTGGAGACAGGTCCTTATGGTGTGGCAATCCCCGGGTTGGTGGGGTGGGAGAGGTCCCAATCCCACACCTCTTGCCGGCGTGCTCGGGACGGGGGAAGGTGAGCTTTTCTGCCAGCCCTCCCCAGCTCTTTCTTCTTCATCTCCCCAGCCAGCAGCCAACACGTTTCAGCAACCGCTGCCTTCATCTGGCCGCACCTGCGCGCGCTGGGCATTGGAGGGGCAGGCTGCGGCGTCCAGGGACTGGCCTCCTTAGGTAGGCAGCTCTCCTCTGATGGGACAAGGAGATGGGGATCTTGCTGGAGGTAGGGTATATCCCCTAGGAGATGCTTCATGAGGATCTCAATGGAAAAGCCCACCCCAAGGAGCACGGGTGCACCCTGCCCCTCATTGATGCCACCCGTCCCTCCTACCACCCCATTCCCACTGGCTGTCCTCATCCCTTCCCCGTGGGACGCTGACAGGTGCTCTGTCCTTCCAGCCCGAAACTGCATGCGGCTTCAGGTCCTGGAGCTGGACCATGTGGCGGAGATCAACCAGGAGGTTGCGGCGGAGATGTGTCGAGAGGGGCTGAAGGGGCTGGAGATGCTAGTGCTGACCTCCACGCCGGTCACCCCCAAAGCCCTGCTGCACTTCAACAGTGAGTAGCCATGCCAGGGAGGAGTGCATAGCATCATCCATTGACCAAAAGGCCACCAGATATCCAGATCCATGAGCCAGACTCCCATCTTCCAGCCCCACCCACTGGCGACCACTACCAACACTGGAAGGTACTAGGAGCTCCATGGTGGAAGGTTTTTAAGAGGGGACTCAACAGCCCCACACCAAGAATGGGTTAAGATGAGTTGGTGTTGCCCTGGGCCATAGGGAGGATGGAGACACTCCCTCCATGCTCCTCTCATCGTAATCAAGGCTTCAGTGTCTGTGGCACACCTGAGGTTCACCCTGGTGTGTCTGAGTTTGAAATCACACCGTTTACTGAAGCCATTTGCCAGGACGGGAGCTCTTAGGGAAAAGAGGTCTGCAGCTGGCAGGAGAGTTTGTTGAAGGTGCCGTTCCTGGTGGTCATGGCACATGCAACTGTGGTTGGACTTGCTGGGAACCCTCCCCTCTGGGTGGAAGGGTAAGGGTTTCCCAAAGAAATAGTAGCACTGCTGATCTGGGATAGGACAATCAGGGACCATCTCGTAAACCACCGTTCTCCCTACAGAGGTCTTGGTCACCAAAAGCAGGTCTCCTCCATCTTCAGGAATGAGGTTTCCCTAAATGCATAAGACCTTGAGGAGCACTGAGTGGGTTTTGGGGTCCATCCTGGCTGCAAGGAGGGTATCTCCCCACCAAATATGGTGAGGCCAGGCAATATCTGCATGCAAACCTCATGAAGTTCAACAAGGCCAGGTGCAAGGTCCTGCACATGGGACAGGGCCATCCCAAGCACGAGTACAGACTGGGCGGCGAATGGATTGAGAGCAGCCCTGAGGAGAAGGTGCTGGTTGAAGAGAAGCTCAACATGAGCCGGCAACGCGCGCTGGTAGCTCAGAAAGCCAACCATATCTTGGAACCAGATGATCCTGAAGGTCCTTTCCAACCCAAATCATTCTATGATTCTGTGATTCTCTCTGCCCCCAGGTGTGTGTCGAAACCTGAAGTCCATCGTCGTGCAGGTGGGCATTGTGGACTACTTCAAGGAGCCCCACAGCCCTGAAGCCAAGAAGATGTTTGAAGAAATGGTGAACAAACTCCAGGTAAAGGATGCTGTTTCCAGGTTACCCATATGTCACCAGTCTCATGTCCCCATGGGGCCTGAGGACAAATTCTTGCCGACCACTGAATTTCCTCAGTAGAGAACATTTTAGCTCACTAGGGACATCCTGAAGGCTCACTGCCCTGACATGCCCCAAACGCTGAAACAAGACCTAACGTGCTGAGATTTCTTTCCATTGCTTTAACCAGGACTGCTTCTCCGTGGGTCTTGTCCTCAGGGGCAGAAAAGGGCTGTTGTCTCCTTTGCTGGGCCACTTGCTTGCCAAACACTGAGAGATTAAAAATCCACTCATGAAAGCAGAAATAGAGTTAATTTTAGTTAGGCTGAGTTGCAGACCTTGATTCGCTTGAGATGCTCAACAGGGCTTGGGCTGTCCTTGATCTGCTCAATGTCTCCAAGGCAGACATCTCCATCCATGTCCAAGGGGAAAAATAGGTGTCTCCATTTCACTTTGTCCTCTGCTTGACTTCATTCTGCAGCAGGTCAGGGTCCCATGGGGACATAAGGTGAAACTCCCACGAGATGCAAAGCAGGACTTGGGGAGCGGAGGCCACCAGAACAGTCAGATGGGGTCAGATGGCTCATGAGGTTTCAGCTCCACTGCCAATCCTGGCATGGGGACGACAGTGGGCAGCACGACAGACCTACATCCACCCCCAGGTTGGGGTTCACTTCACTGGAGAGAAGAGCCATTTCAGAAGAGCTTTCCTTGCGCGGCCACCCACCGCCGCACTTTGCAAATCCCACCTGCCCCTGCATGTTGAGGTCATCTGCCCCAAACTACTACTGTCCTCTGGAAACGGCGTTAGAACCAAGCAGAAACCAAATCCAGAGCCAACTTCAAGGGCATGGGATTAAGGAGCGCGTAACCAGTCCTGCAAGGGATGCGGCGGCGGGGATGGGACCAGGGTGGACCCCTTCCCATGGTGGGGACTCGAGATGTCCTCTCCTCACTCTTGCTCAACCTGTGGGGCAGCAAGACTGCCACGTCCTGCACCAACCACGCTCTTTGCTCCTCTTCCAGGCCCTGAGGAAGAGACCCGGCTTCTCCAAGATTTTACACATCAAAGTGGAAGGAGGCTGTTAGACCTTCAGGGAACCACAAAGCACATTCCTTCCTCTGCCCGGCAAGAGCCAGAGGCCCCGTGAAACCAAACCCACCATCCACCGCTCATCCGATGCCGGACCTGGAGCACAGAGACACTGGTCCATGCACAAAAAAAAAACCCCACAAAATCCCAAACTCTTGCAGGCCTTAGTGACTGGCAGCCGATGCTCGTCCCCGGGGCCAGCTCGCGGGCGAGAAGGTGCTACTTAAGGATATTTTCCAGCTGCCCGAAGAGGGCTACAATTTTTCCCGGGAGGGAAGAAGGCTTCGAACCCCCTGCGGCTGCTCGTTGCCAAGGATCTTTGTTTGGGGAATGTCTTTTTCTTCAAGCTCTCTTTCTGGGGGATTTTTTTGGCCATTTGATGGTGTGGGAGATGAGGATGGCTCAGTCCGTCCCTGTGGTCCTTGCAGAGCGCTGGGCTCGATGCCGCTGCGTCACGGCTGGGCAAC